GACTTGATGCTTAATAATATAATGATAAGAATAATAATAATAATAATAATAATAATAATAATAACAATAATAATAAATAAATAAATAATAATAATAATAATAATAATAATAATAATAATAACAATAATAATAAATAAATAAATAATAATAATAATAATAATAATAATAATAATAATAAACAGTTTAACGTGGAGAAACACTTAGCTAGAAGCTAGTTTACAGGTTTTCCACGAAACAACTTAAACAAATAATTCAAATTGAAAATAAAATTGTTAAGAATCCCAACTGGCCGAAGGCAAACCAGTTGGTTATATTACAAGCATGGCCGAGGATTTGAAACTCGGGGCTACCGTGAAACAAATTCAAGTAGTGGCCAAGGCGGGACTTGAACCCGGGAGCGACGGATTGCAAGTCCGACACGCTAACCACTGCCTTCTAATCTTAAAGAAAAAAAAAAAAAAAAAACAGAAAAATTCACCCCTCGTGACTCAGCTGTCAGCAGAAAAATGTACTCCTAAAATCATTGTTTCTCCGTGTGTAGAGGGATATCTCATTTGTAAACCATGGGTCAAGTAGGTATCCAGTCTTTTCGTCCACGAGTCTTTTCGTCTAAGTCTGTTCGTCTAAAGTCTTAGGTCCATTCGTCCAATATCAAGTCTTTTCGTGAAAGTTACAAGATTGTTTTAAATGAAGTTATAACGCAGTATATTTTATTTGCTAGTGACAAAATTAAAGACTTGCCGTTTAATTATTTCGCGCAAAAGAAATGGGAATATTAGGCTTAATTGTTGTGAAGTGTCTGTTAGGCGTACTAGACAACAAAGAGTAACATCACTAAATGTCCGACACAACCAACAACATAGTCCAACACGATAAAGAAATAAAACTGAGCCAAAAATAACCCCAAATAAGCATCTTCTCTGTGTATCTATCGTAATTCACGACGTTAAATTCGTAAACGAGGATTGGTGACTAAAGCTACTGGAAACAAAATGGTAACGGCTCGTCCGAACAAGTTCTTTATATAGCCTTCTAAAAGTTATTTATTTGCTTCGAGAAAAAACTTGACAATTAGTCGAACAGACTTTGATGAAAAAACTTTTGGACGAAAAGACCGTAATTCATGACTAAAGCTATCAGAACCAAAATGGCAACGCTTCGCACTAATAAGTTCTTTATATAGCCTTATCTAGCCTTCTAAAAGTCATTTATTTGCTTCAAGAAAAGACTTAACAATTAGATGAACAGACTTAGATGAAAAAACTTCGGACGAAAAGACCGTAATTCGTCACGTATAACTGAAGTGACATGTTCAACACTAAAAAAGTCCACGGGACACAAGTAACACGGTAAAAACCAGGGAGAAGGTTGAGATACACTGCATCTCACATCTAGATATCGGGCAGTAACTCTTTCTCACCCTCATTTTTTGACGTGAGAAAAGTTAACAAGGATATACCATCAGCGATGCATTAATTTACATAGGGACGCCTACTCACCCACTCTTTCCACAATTTACCCCAACCTCCCCCATAAAAACCCTTCTTGTGCACTTCCTGAGTACAAAGACCTCATTGGCCACCTTACCTCTTGTCTGAATCTTTAGTAATGCTGGGCACCTTACTGAATGCTGCTTGGAATGAATCCCTGAAATAAAATACAAATTTTTAACATCAAATCCTGCAAACTTTAAAGGATAGAAACCAAATGTCTCTCCTGCAACTTGTGTCTTTTTTAAAGAGAACAAAACGAACGATATGTTAAGAAAAACACAAATTGGTTTAAATCATTGATTATATGAAAAGAGAGAAGAAAGAAATATCCCTATGAGCATAACTCCTTATACTGAGTAAAAAAGCCAACTTCAAGGACAATTCCCTTGTTCTGATCTCCATAAATAGACAGGCTCAGGCAGTTGGAATGAACTGTGACAATAGTGAAAGATAAGTATCTTTTTGTTTGTGACTTGTGTTTGAAAAGGGCTCTATATCACGACCGACTTAAGCCACTTAAGTTTTATAGCAAATAACATTAGGGCTAAATTGATCAATTAGTTTACTCGAATCGGACTTAATACATTCGACTGACAACAACTCTTCACTTTAGTCTGATGATAACTTCCATTCAGGTTGTCGAAACATCAGTCACAACTGTCAACAATAGTCCTTGTCAGGACTACACTCACCCAGACGATCAGACCACAGGCTCACATGAGGGCTACATTACAGTATTTATCAGAGAACAAACCAAATTTACCTAGCATGTTGCGAGAGATATGCTGCTAGTGCTTCTTGAATAGCTTGTGCCTCCAAATGTGCCTGAAGCAAAGAGCATCCTGTAAATCAATTGTACAATTCCTAGCCTTAAAAATTTAATTTGTTCCACTCTTTGTTTGTTGGGGGTACATAATACTCCACAGATGACAGTGACATCTACGTCTTAATAAACCACGCAAAGAGAAGTAACAGCCAATCAGAAAACAGAAGTGCCATTGCATATCAAACACCATTTCACCCAACCTTCTGATGTGCATAGGATGTTGTTCCCACAAAATTTAACAAGGGACAACCCTCTCAGTTTTTTTTTTTAAGTTTAACTTTAATAACTCTGTTTGACATGACTTTTGTATTCTTTGCATTGTGTGGTGAGATATAAAAAAGTGTAAAACATTATCAAGATTACAGAAAAAATGAACACTCTCCTGCAGTATATCTCAGATTATCTAATTTCTAATACTTAATTAGTATTATTTTTTCTGCTCATACCCTACTCCAGAGGCTTGTGTGTATAAGAGAAAATATGGGTGATCTGTAGGACTTTGCATGACAGTGGACAAGTGTATACTTAGGGATAAATGATAGACTATTACGTGTTTTAAGGGTCAGGATTTTGTGGGAAGATGATGTTTATTTCAGTTTACTGCATAACAGAGATCACAGAGAAACTGTGTTTCTTCCTCTGTGAGCACTCATAATATAAACCCAACAAACACATTTTGTTCAAGTTTGAGCTCAAATAGTCTCTTGTTATGACTCAATGGTTTTCAAGTTCCAGAAATCTCAGGTTTTAAGACATGGGAGCCTCAAGACAATGTTTTCCTTCGATAAGAATACAGCCATTAGATTACTCATTACAACAGCAAATTCTCAGCTGAATACACTGGTCACCAGCTAAGATCTAATACAAATTACATTTTTATGAAACTCACAGTAACAGCTCCAGCTGAAGTGAATGTTTTCACCCCACTTATGAGCTTGCAGAACTCATCTGCCAACATGTCAGTCAAACGGGACAACACCTGACTTACAAGTTCCTCGGATACAGCAAACACCTGAGGTAAACACACCAAAAAGCTACTTTTAAAGTTACAGTTAAATGCTAGAAAAAACAGACCATCCATTTATCTTTGCTCTCATCACTCTGCACTAGTTAGCCTGTAATCCCTTTCTTCGGTCTGTTCCTTGATTTTCCACCTGTTGGTTTTGTTTGCCTGTTTGTCTGCCTTCCTTTGCTTGTTTGTCTCTGTAGTTTGGATATAATAGTAAATTGGCCACCATAATGATTACAAAAGCCGACGTTTCGAGCGTTGAAACATCAGCTTTTGTGATCGTTACGGTGGCCAATTAACCATTTCAACTTTGTTGATACATCCAAATTATTTCGTTACCCCCACCGATGCAGCCCCAAACAGTTTCTTTAGAAACTATCAGCCTTTATTCATTTGTCTCTGTATTTGTCTGACAGTGTGCCTGCTTTTCCAGCCATCTGTTTGTTTGCTGTATTTGTGTATGTGTGTGGCTGTTTGTTTACCATTGCTATTCTGCCTACTTATTATTTTGCATTTCAGTGACCTTTTAGCACTTAAGATCAGGTTTCACAAACTACCACACACCTGGGCATGTACAGTAACCAAGCTCATTATAACATCTTTAACATAGCTGCGCACATCTGCATAACCACAAAAGATAAAATATATTTCAATGTTATTGAATGTCAAGAAAGGCAATCACACACAAAGAGAGAGTGTTCCCTTGCTACACCAGATCTACAGCAGAAATTCCAGCTGTACCTTTTGGAGGAAGACAGTTGTGCCATTTAAAGTCACCTATTGTCATCCCAGACTCCACATGTGTCAACAGTGGCTCAGCTTTCTGATCAATGTATTCCTTGAAGATTTTATTTTCCAAGTCACATACTTCACTGGTGAGATCCTGAGGACATTGAATGAAAGAGTATTATTTGGTAAACACTCAGTGAAAGTAAGAAGCAAACAAGTAAACATTAAGTAACCTCTTCACATAATTATGTTTTAGCTGTTTTTACACCACCGTTTGAAATAATGAACTAGGAAATATATCTTTAGTAAAATAATACATAATCATGACACATACTGATGTCAACATCCATTAACAGCATTTAGTTAAGTTAACCATGCCTGATGTTGGACTTGAATTAAATTAATAAGAAAAGAAACAAAGAAAAAAATGATTAACTTGTACACAAAGTATCTTGTTACAGGCTTTTGGCCTCACCAACTTTGAATGCTCATAAATGTTCAAGTACACCATAACTGATTTCCAAATACACTGTGCAGTACTTTTTTGAAATGTTAACATTATCCTCCTAGACTACAAAATTTTTTAATTGCAACAAAATTACCTTTTTAAGCTTGTCACTGATAGGATAGTCATTATTTCTAAAGCTGTCCACCAGTTTTGGAAGAACACTGTTTCTCACATATCGACAGTTATTCAGTACAATCAACAACCTTTCATCCTGGTAAAACAGCATATCAAATAAAATGCATAAGATAAATTTTGTAGAAAAAATAGAGTGTATATCACCAAACAAGTGTCAATGTCTACTGATACTAAGGCTGATTTTCATTAACAATGCAATGCAAGCACAAACCCAAGCACGACAGCTCTTATTTCACAGCTTCTACACAAGCACAAGCATCAGAACTTATCCTCTGTCTTGTGCTAGTGCTTGTTGACATTTGTTTTGATTTGGCATTTCAATCAATCAATCAATCAACTTCATTTAACGAGGGTAACGAGGGACAGTGCTTCAACTGAGTAACTAGTGGCCTTTAAACCTTATGCTTGCATTTGTGCTCGCCTGATGCTAATGAAAACCACAAAGAATCAAAATCATATGAAATCAAAATCATATACACAATTTAAGAGATTAATGAAAATCTATCTGCAAAATCATAGTTAAATTCTATGCTAGAGATATAACTTCAAATCGTAATTTTATCAGCAAAGCAGCAAAATATCTTACACTCATAATTAAACCATCTGCTATAAGTTACAGTTTTTATGAGATGGGTCTCTTCTTATAATAGCTCAGTAGAGCTTGCTAAGATCTCCAGCCATAATATTATAGCTTATTTTAGCAGGCTTATAATTAAAGCTATGTAATGTAATGACAAAGGCAATATTTAAGTGAATATCTTTCAAGTGGTTATAATCAATTTGATTGACTGAGCCAAATTCCAAGTAGACAAACTGAATGGAAATCCTATATGGAAGGAAGAAGACTAAAGGAGCTGAACTAATATCAAACACAATCAAATCTGGCGAGCTGTACATGTACAGCTGTGGGGTGGAAGGCTTCAACCCTTAACCTCTGAATTGAAGTACAGCATCCCTTGCCACTTAACCAATTATGTTTTTAAGTGTGATAAAATTGAATGATACACCTGGTAAAATTGTAAATCACAAGCTAGCAGGTGAGTGATTTTCAAGGTAATAGCTTATTACTCAGAGTCCCATGTCATCAAAAATTAGGTAAGACGAATCTTTCAGGCTCAGACGTGTAAACTTAATTGGCAGACAACTCCTCAGGCTTAACAGACCAACTGGTACACAGTCACATATTTTACACCTACTTAGTTATACCATAATCACAAATAGACCAAGGATTTTGGTTATCTAGAACTACCACTAACCCATTATATCTCAGATTTCAAATAAATTAAATCTTCAAAATTGAGTAGCCTCTGAGTCACAGAAATTATGTTGAATGAAACAACATGAAATGTATTCTGACTAGAAAAGATTGATGCATTGCCTATTAGACAAATTTTAGATTTAAAGTAGAATTTTCCAAGTTCTAGTGAAAGACCTTCCATTATAAATCTCTATTATTAAAAGGCCTAACAGTGTAAACAATATTCACCCAGAACCACTGACAAAACTTACCACATCTGGTGTATTGTCTTCCGTAGACAAAGATGATCTTTCCAAATTCTCTTGAGATTCACTTCCAGTACTGCCTTTAGGGCTAGACCTGCTTTTCAGACAGAACCCAAAACATATCTGTCAAGAAAAGCTGATAGCAAACCTTATGCAGTGAAAGAAGGCAGCTGACTTCTAGACTTTGCATTTGCTGGATCAATCATAAAATGTGGTTGACATATTAGACACTTAAAAAGGCCATTCATTTATATCAAAAGATGTGAGGTTGAGATAGGGACTTATTTTTGCCCCAAAAAGTCTCACAAGTAAAACCTCCTTTGGATATCATGTGTCACTCACAAAGAAACTTTGTCTGACTCCTGATCTGGTTGAAATGCCAAATGGTGAAGACATTTGATAAATGCCTGAAAAGTAAAAAAAAGGAAAACACCATCATATTTGTACTTTAAGACAAACTGATCAGGATAAATTTAAATCCACCTGCCCAATTAGTCAAAATATCAATAGCTGACACAATGCAAAGTAAAAAACTAATTAAAACCTTTTTTTCAAAATTAAAATGTTTCAACACCCTACATGCCTGGACCTGTTTATGTTCACTCTTCTGTTCATTCATTCATTTATCCAAGATAAATTTGTTGTTCATTGAGACCCATGCCAATGTTATGCAATCATTCTCTCCTGCCTCATAGATATGGAATTCCTATGTACCTCCAACCAATGAACACAAACCTGGAACATCTCCTTGAAAAGATCCACTGCATCTGTTTTCAGCTGTATATTCTACAAAAGAAGAGTGAACATTTATCTATATTTGACAACCAAACCCAACAATTACCATCTTCTGATCCTATTAAATTATGAAAAAAAACTTGTTAGACATTTTCAAACATAATTTTTATCAATAATTGTCGACATTACTGCATACAGAGGCACAGAAAACATCACAGTCTCTTCATTAGATAAGTTCTCAACGAAAAGAGTGAAACAAGATTTAAAAAAGGAAAATTTTCTGTTAAAAAATACTGGGATTCAAACTACAAAGGTGTACTCAGGTACCAATAAATGACTAACAAATATATAGATTAATATCAAAGCAAACAATTCATCAGTAAGGATATCAGTTATTAAAATAAAAATGCATTTCAATGCGTGAATCCTTTAACTCCCATAAGTGACAACGACAGAATG